ACGACGACGACGACGACCATGACTACGACTACCGCAGGCTTGCCGTTCTTTGTTTTCGTTCGGAGCAAGCAATTCTGGGAGTCTTCAGAACATGGCTTTCAGATGGCTTGAAGCTTGATGGTTTGACGTGTGCACGAGTGAGATAGGCAGGATCTGAACCTCTGCTGTGCCGCGGAAACTGCGAAATTCTATTACGGGGTGTTTCCAAACGTCCCTGTGCGCCAGGTGAGAATGGATTCGAGGACCCTGGGCAAGTTCTTCACTTCAGCAAAGCAAAGCCTATGTATTCAGATGATGTGCTCCCAGAGACATGCTCGAAGTTTAGTGAGGACAGCATAACCATACCCTAAACCCTAAACCGTTTCATCCAAGTGGACCTGTGAGCAGCACCAATGTAGCGGTTCTATTTGTACAAACCTGAACCCTAAACCCCAGGATTCGGAAACAGAGTGTTGCTAAAGTTTAGGAGCCTTGCTAATTACCTATACTATTTGGGGNNGGTTTAGGGTTTAGGGCTCTAAAGGAGCCCAAAGGACTCTATTCTAATTATGAAGGCCCCTACATTAGGTGGATCAAGATCTGCCTCCATCCTCCCCAGGTCTGTCTTACTACCCTGGACCGATAATCAGAAGATTTCCGACAGAATGCTTCCATCGATCTAGCAAGCAGGGATCTCTTACTAAAACCATGATCATGTATGGAGTGTCCATCAGTCAGTCAGGGCTCCCAGCCGAAAGCTCCGAATCCCGAGCTTGAGGCCCAAAGTCCGAACAACCACCATGAGTACATGTCGAATTTTGGGTGTAGACAACGCCGCAATCACAGACGCGCTTGTCCCTGCGCTGAAGTCGCTTCGATGTGCATGCGTTCCTTCCAGAGCATTATGGGCACGACCTTTGAAGCCTTAATCAATGTCGCAATGTCACTTGGAGGAGAACTGCGTGGTCAATATCACCAACACATGGGATGGCTACGCGTACTGTGTGGTGTGGAATGCCGCTGAGCAAAAAGTCGACCACGAAGGACAGCCGGAAAGCTGCATCGCAAATGTTGGTGTGTCTGCCTTCAGCGCGGCTTCCCTAAACCCTAAACCCTATAAACCCTCAACCCTTTGAAATAATTCGTCTTGCGAAATCTGGCTTTACCGACTCTAGGGGCAAGGACAGATGAGCAAGGCCTCTCCAGGCAAGACAAACCTAGGCTCTATTGGAGAGACGGTAGTGCAGCTGTCTACGGTGTTTTGAGGACCCATGCCCAAGCAGCTACAGCCCCTCAGCCCATGACATGGTCTTGTGATCCAGTGTATCCTAATCCCAATATTTGCGGCCTAAGGCCTTTACGATTAGAATAGGGTTTTGGGGTATATCCTTGGCAAGCCCTATCTCGTGCAATCGTCCGAACCAGCAGGTCAACCGCAAAACAAAATCAGGTAGTGTATGTCACAAAATGCCGTTGTACTGTATTACATATTAACAGATTATGACCGTATGTATTGCTTTAGTCGACCATACCGAAAACCTGCGGCAAGTACCTTGCTCTGACATTTTTGCGCAAGCCTGCAAACCCCGAGCCCTTAAATTGAGGCTTAGTTGCCCAAGTGTTGGGTTCCGGAGGTTTGGCCACCATGGATGTGTTGAGTTTGCGCAAGGTTATAGACATTGGGCCTGAGAGTTAATGTGGACGCCTCAACACTAAGAATAGGGTTTTTTTGGTATATAATATTATAATTTAATCAGGAGCCCCCCAGAATAGTATAGGTAATTATTAAGGCCCCTATATTTCGGCTACAAATTCAGTTCTAGCCCGGTTCTATGTAAATTGGCATTGTAGCTGGAAGTGGTGTTCAAATGGGGGCTTCAGATAGGGGACCCTAATATAGTACCCCAAGTAATAGGATCCTTATTATAAGGACCCTAAAATAAGGTACCCCAATTTCAAATTTCGGAAAGTCCCAAATGGGCCTGAACATGCAGGCTGGCTGCCGCAGTCAAAACTCTCAGATTTGACTTCGGAGAATTACACCGTTGAGACGGCATGGAGGCGCCAGACTGTCTACTGTAACCAGTGTCGTCATCCTACCAGCACCATGCTCATCATCACTGCCATTGTAGTCATTTTTAGGGTTCAGGGTCGAGGATTAAGGGTTGATGGTGACCATCTTCATCACCATCATCGTCAGAAGCATCATCTTCCTGTGGCTCTAGCATCATCTCTTGATGTACATCCTCATCCTCGTCGTGTCGGGGCTGATATAGCTGTCAGGAGATTCGTAGTATTATCCCCGTACAGTTCCCGCAAAATTCGAGCATAGTACCCCACAAAACCTGATTATAGCTACTAGCGTCCCCATATCATAGCGCCCTTCTAGCAACCCCTAGAAATCCTCAAAAGAAACCTTTCAAGAACCAGATCTGAATTATGAAGGCCCCTATAGTATCTGATCTTGTAGTATTCTTGGCTGAGCTTTGCGTAGTTCGGAACGAGGCCATGGCTACGGGATCCTGTAAGCCACTATGTCACTATGCTGTATCATAGTCCGGGATACTATGCTATTCCATCTTATTATACTATAGCATCGCACAGTGTGGTATAATATGATCTGGTATGCTACAGCACAGCATAGTATATTACCATAATCTACTCAGTCATACTTTTCTACTGCATCCTGTTTTGTTATGGTCTTCTTTCTGGCACTACAGCCTCATAAGTCCTAAACTAAAAACTTGTTTAGGGCCCTACACAAAACACACGCAAAGCCCTAAGCCCTAAACACAATTTTGCCCTTTGTTTCTTCAGGTTCGGACCGAGCCACGCCTTGCTGTCCTGATGTTACGATAAGGGGCCTCAATAATTACCTATACTATTCCTTGGGGGTTCCTGATTACAGTTATAGTATAGTATACCGCAAAATGTAGTATATGGTTTTGGGAGGGCTCCTTACTATGATTATAGTATAATGTACCCCAAACCCCTATTCTAACTATTCCTTACTATGATTATAGTATAATGTACCCCAAACCCCATTCTAACGCCCCTGTGTTACATGCGACCCCAGCGCCGCAGAAGGCTGAACCTGACGTCCCGGTCTAGGGTTCAGGGTTTGGGATTTAGGGTTTAGGGATGTTTTTAGGGCTTAGGGTTTGCATAGGGTTTGGGGTTTAGGGGTTAGGGATGTTTAGGGTCTAGGAATGTTTAGGGCTTCGGGTTTGGGGGTTAGGGGTTAGGGCCTAGGCCCTGTTGCCAGATTGCCGTTTCAAGAGCTGCTCCGCTACACCACCATCGCCGAGGTAGTGCAGGAGCTGGTCAGATCTTGTCGGGACTGGGTTCTGATTCGGGGGTTTCCGAAAATAGGGGACCCTAATGTAGTACCCTAAATAATAGGATCCTTATTATAAGGACCCCCAAAATAAGGTGCCCTAATTTTTGGAAACTCCCATTCAGGCACCAGATACTACATTTTAGGGTATACTATACTATAACTGTAATAAGGAACCCCGAAGGAATAGAGCTTCACAGGGATGCTTTCTAGGCGTTTGCGCAGGTCACGATCGGCCAGCACACGTAGCTCCTAAAAAGATGTGGGGTTTATAGGGTCCCTGAATTTGCCCTAAATCCTGCATAAACCCTAAACCCCAAAACGGCAAACCATAGTTTGGATCTCGTTCTCTGCGAGAACGACAAGCAAGGAGCTCAGGACAAATACCAGTGTCATCCCGACACCCGGTCTTGCAGGCAAGACAGTCTTTGACCTTGTGTTTGCTGTAGCTCGTCAGTGTTGTGCCTCTAAGCTGGTATCTTGCAATGGGTGTCCGTTGTGTCTCGTCACTGGTGTTTTGTCATTATTTTGCAGTCTGATTGGTTGCTGATGGGTTCTTGTTCGGCCATGGCAGTTCTCTTCTGTTCGTTGTGTGTTGCTTTTTCTGGGTAATCTGTTATCTTGCCATCGTTCAGTCTGCTGTACTATTATGCATGTGCTTCTGAATGTGACCCTTACGTGAAACCCTAGCAGTAGCGCTTTCTCTCTCCGCAGCACAAGTAATATAGGGGCCTTAATGATTCGAACAGGGTTTTGGGGTAGAATATACTGTAATTATGATGAGGAACCCCCTGAATAGCATAGGTAATCATTTATTCCCCTATATTATGCGAAAAAGACCTCAGATTTTCAACTGTAAGCTTGTGACTCTTTGCCTGTGGTTGTTTTGCCATCCGCAAGGGTGTTCGGTGGATCTTATGACGAACGGAGATAAGCCGTCGTTTCAAGCGATCAGTTCTCCGCAAGAGCTGGAAGGACTATGCCGGCGGTGGTGCTCTGACCGTCCGGGAAGGACAAAACTGGGCTTCGCGATGTGCTTCGGGAGGTTTGCAGGGCAATATGACACATGCAGGGGTCGGAGTACTTTGGAATTATCCCCTATAGTCCCTCTATGACTGTCTGGTGCTTAGTAGGGAATGGGGGAATGGATCCCTATGATAGTCCCTTAAGGTCCCTTAGAGTAGTCCCTATAACCCATTCCCCCATTCCCTACTAAGCACCAGACAGATGATAGTACAACACTTAATCCCTGGGTTGACGATAGAGTCCGACCGGTGAGCCAACAACCCGGCAGAGTGGCAAATTTAAGCTACAAGATCCGCAATTCAGCAATCTAGCTAGCCTTCCGACGCGCACGGTGAGCCACAGCGGGGAGCCCGGAAAATGTCAGCAAGAAGTGCGTCATGCACATACCTGAGTTCGCAAAGCGCAACAAGCCCAGCAAGTCGGCAAGTAGTTCAGCGATCACGGAAAGGAAGTGCGAGTGTGTGATGTAGGAGCCCTTGATAATTATAATTAGGCCCCAAACTAGTATAGGCAGTTATCAAGGCCTCCATATTAAACACTGAAGGGTGCAAAACAGTAAGCAAGTTTTCAAGATAGAACAGAGGGAGGTATGGAAGCATGCTTGACAGGGCCTTTGAGGTTTCGACTGGTTGTGAGAAGGGGGGGTGGAAGAGCATGGGCATAGTCATGATGGTGATGGTCATGGGATTAATAGTGATTATGAGCACGATGGTGCTGCTAGTGGCGATGATGATGATAAGGTTTGAGGCGTACGGTCCATTCGTTTGGCACAGCCTACTTTCTGTCGGTCCGGCTATTCAGCTCGAAAATCTTCGCGTTCCGCTTGCAAAGGAGATCTGGTGCAGATCTCCCATCAGGCCGATGGCTGGGTCTTCGGAACCATCCTGAAGGCCGATGACACCCCGCAGGTTCAAGTTGGTGTAGAAGCCAAAATGAATATGCAGTAAGGTAGTCCTTCCAGCCATAAGCCCTATACCCTAAACACTATTACACTGGATCCTGAACCCGCACTTCCTAAACCCTAGGCGCCTTCAATTCCTTAAGATCTCTGGCTCTCGCGTCTGGGGTTTCGCGAAGCAGAGATTACTTTGAGTGGTATATGGGCCTGCTCTTGTGGTACATCAGCTCTGCGGCCATGTACGGTTCAGGAAGAGTCCTCGTAACTATTATATGTATTATACATATATATATA